GTTTATTCAGGGCTCCATCCTTCTGAAGTCAGTAAAATGAAGACCAAGATTGTTGGGAGCAATATGGTGATTCTGTAAACCACTTAGAGAGGGTTGTAAAGCACTATGAAGCATATATAATCCCAAGTGCTATTGCTATTGCTTTCATATGGACCTATGTTTATGCATTTACTTTCTTTTTTTAAAAGTTTTTTTATTTTTTTAAAGACAAACACAAACACAAACATAAAACATCAACATAAAACCATCTTCCAAAATATAGCATTTCGGTTGGTACATTTCTTTTGTGCAATGTGATAGTATCAGCAGTCTTACCTTTCCAAACATACATTCATATTACATAAGTCAACTATACATATTATATTGTATTATATTATTATTATAGAATTATTAGACTCAACTACAATTTCACATAGTTCTTATCGAGCAGATCTCAGTTTTAACCAATCTGAGAACATACAATTCATTTCATTGTATTCAATTATATAATATCATTACATTATATTATCTTGCATATTATGCCATTCCTTTTTTATAACACATTTTACTTCTCTGTTTTCTTATCGAACCATTGATAAAATAGATCCCAGATTTTGTAATATTCTTTATCCTCTTGCTCTCTAATTGCTAATGTCAATTTACTCATTTCTGCTATGCATTTACTTTCTTATTCCCAGATATTTTCCCTGATAAATTTCATTCCAGTTAAGTTTCTTCAAGCCTTTCTTGATCCTTGTTAAGGGTTCAATTTCTGTTTCTCCTTTCATATTCTTATATTATTCTACATATTCTCCAAATATCACTCTCTAAAGCTCTTCATCAAGATAATTTATGTTGATGTAAAAGGTAAATAGCATAGAATACAATGTGGCATGTTTTGGATATTGAGCCTTTTATGAACATACTTATGAACATACTCCAGTGTCTTTCATCCAGTTATGAATCTAAATAATATGATCAAAAGTTATTATCATGAAAGATGTTATAATGGGAAAAGAAGAAGAAGAAGAAGAAGAAGAAGAAGAAGAAGAAGAAGAAGAAGAAGAAGAAGAAGAAGAAGAAGAAGAAGAAGAAGAAGAAGAAGAAGAAGA